GTGGGGCGTTGGGGTTCTCGGTTGGGGGGTTGTGGTCAGTAAGGAGGAGGGGAAGGGGACTGTACCAAGTAATGTCGATTTAAGAGTAGTGTATTGTTGTTCTTTTGTGGTACTAAGTAGTAGTGTATTTCTTTGATTTTGTGGTACTGAACACCTGGTACATTTCTTCATTCCTTGATTCTGAGCAGCAGAAGATATATAACTTTCATTATGTCTTACTAAGCCGTTGTATATTTCTTTCATTCTGTTTACTAAGCATTAGTATGTTGTTGTTTTTCATTCTGTGATTCTGAACAGTGGCATGTCTTCCAATCTGTTCTGTAGTTTATTTCTTAAATTCTGAGGTAATGGGCAGTAGTATGATTCCCCAGTCTGTTGTACTGACAGCAATATATTTCTTACAATTTGGTGTTTCTAAGTATCGATACATCTCTTTCATCCCGTTTGCTAAGAAGAAACAGAAATATATTTTTTTATTCCGCGTCACTGAGCAGCAGCATATTTCTTCCACGCTGTCACCGAGCCTCGATCACCCTCCCGCCTCCTCCCGCAGCGGTGCAGTGCGACATCCCCGAGGACCCAGAGAACGGCAAGAGCACCTTCACGCGTCGCATCTACAACTCGGTGGTGTCCTACAAGTGCGACTACAGCTACATGCTCGTCGGCCCCGAGACCAGGCGCTGCGGACCCGACAAGAAGTGGAGCGGCGTCCAACCCCAGTGCAAACGTAGGTCCTCCTCTTCCTTCGCGATGCCATTACCAAGTACCTTTTTTTTTTTCCTTTTGCGATGTACAGCACTTGGAAAGTTGTTGTAAGGTAGCGGCCTCTTGTCTTTACTTCTTACTTGAATATATATCGAGGAGAAACTGTTCTTTGCACTGTTGGTGAGTACTAGAAGCGGATAGAGAAGGACTTCTGCCATTTTCTGAAACAGATGCTGATAGAGACGCAGCTCTAATCTGAATCATATGTGCACGTATCGGATATATTCAGACGATGTGTCATTCCTTGTATACGGAACGGGAAGAGAGAAATGGAATCGTCTCAATGTAACTGCTCAATGTATCATTCCATCCATCAAAGTGTTTCCTCTTTTGTATCTTTATGAATCCACTGAGATGATAAAAAAGGTTTCTCTCTTGCTTTTCCCTTAGATATTATTTCTATCTATCGTTCTCTATTTTCTTCTCATTGGTTTTCCTTTTTACAGCCTCTGAACTCTGTAAATAAGTCATCCGTAGTGTATTCCAGGAAGTAACTCTTGTAGTAATTACTGTCGTTGTTATGATAATATGATTTTTTTTCTCTCGTAGGATGTTTTAGAGTACACTTAACTTCCTATTCCACGTAGTCCAACTTTACGAAAGACACGGAATTGCATTTTGAACAAGTAGTCTTCAAAGAGTAGAAGTCAAAGAGCACGCTACTTTTCTGATCTTACTCTATACTTCCTTTCTCCACGCGGATGAAACGCCACTGAAACGGGACGAAGGAGTGGGGGGGAAGGGGGGAGGGGCGAAACGGGCGGCCGACCGAGGACCAGAAGCGGGAGAGGGAATTGAAAAAAAAACGCTTCGAAAACACTGTAGGTTCCTTTAGAGATAGTTGTGGGTCGATAGACAGGAGGTCGATAGATAGGGTCTTCTAGCGAGGTTCTTCCAGCGAGGGTCATCTCTCTCTGCTTTTCTTACTCGGAGTAAACTCTTGGAGTGCGGAGTAAAGGGGGGAGGGGGGTTTTCACATGCGTAGGTTAGTACAAGTGTGGAAGTGAATGATTAATGTGACGACATCGTGGTAAACCAATTTAGACGCACCTCTTTTTTTAGTCATTCATTTTTAATCAATTTTGAATTTCTTTTTTGTGATTACCATAATCTTTCTTGAAGAGTGGTGCGACTTTTTTTTACTGGATTCGAACGGCCATGAGCTCCAGAGGATTTTTTTTTTATTCCTACATGATTTGTCAGGAGATTTGTCATCAAGAAGGAACAGAGAGCGAGTCAGTGCCACGTAGAGCACACGTAGGGCATCCGCTTTTGACAGCCACCCACCTCGCTTTGCCTAGGAGTCTTAGTCAACTTCCCCGAGAGCTCGCCCTGGTTCAGAGCTCGCGAGTGTGCTGCCCGCTGTGCACAGGGCGTCCGTGCATGCGTGTGTGTGTGTGTGTGAGTTCATTGTAACAGATCATAACGTCTGAGGCTGGTGGCCCCTTAGAGATCAACTGCGGGTCTCCGGGCGTGCTATACAACGGGTGGCTGGATGGCTCCTACACCACCCTGGGCGCCAAAGTCATCTTCCGCTGCAACGACAACATGTTATACGAGGGCCACCCCGAGCAGCAGGCAGTGTGCCAGAGGGACGGCACGTGGTCGCACGCCCTCCCCAGGTGCTTCGGTATGTATGCCTGCGGACGACTCGCTCCCTCCCGAATGATGCTCGCCGCCGCCTGCTGCATCTCGGCCAAAGACAGCCTCCGCCTTGCGAGTCGATTCTGCATGACGTACATAATCACATTTGCCTAGACTGTCGTATTCGAATACATATATATATATATCTGCACCTCGAGCTTGCGTCGCGTGGGTGGAAAGTAAGGTGTGTGCGAGTGGATTCCCTTGACAGCGAGGACATGCTCAGTCTCTGTGTGGGTCTTGACGCCCAGTTGCATGAAGTCTGCAGCTCTCTTGCAAGAAGGTCGGGTCCGTGGTCCCCCCAGGGTAGTCCTGCCGGAAGACTGGTAGAGTGACATTTTTTTTTCATTTCCTCTCTCCTTTCCATACTTATTTTTCTCTTCTTATTTCCTAGCATGACATTACTGTGGTTGATAAGCTATGTCAGAGCGCGCGCGAAGGGGTGCTGGCGAAGAGGTGAGTGAGGCGCGCGTGAGTGAGCCGCCCGGGTTATATCCCCAGAGATCAACTGCGGACACCCGGGCCACCTCCCCAACGGCTGGCTGGAGAACATCGAGCAAGGCACTGCCCTCGGCTCCTCCATCATCTTCCGCTGCTTCGCCAACATGACTATCGAGGGCGACCAGTCTACCGTCTGCCAGGCCGACGGCACCTGGAGCAAACCTCTGCCCAAGTGCCTGGGTGAGTCTCCGAGCCGCGCCCTCGGCCTCGGCGCCCCGAACAGCCGGTGACCGATTCCTGTTCGTGGCGTGCAGGGGGCTGGGTGGATGTGGAGAGGGTGAATGGAGGTGGATGGGTGGATGGATGGATAGAGGTAGATGGATACATGGAGGGAGAATGAGTGGGTGAGTGAGCGAGCAAGTGAGTGAGTGTGTGAGCGAGTGAGTGATGGGCGAGTGAGATAGACAAACAGACAGATAGACAAATAGACAGGCTGGCAGAAAGGCAGATAAATGCGTATAAACAAACGGAGCGAAAGAGAAATAGACAGTGAGAGAGACAGAGAGACAGAGACAGTTAGAGAGAAAAAGAGAGAGCGAGATAGAGAAGAGAAGACAGAGGTAGAGACAGAACGAGAGAGAGAAAGAGATAGATTGAGAGACAGAGACAGAGACAGAAAAGGAGAAAGCGAGAGAGAGAAAAAAAAGAAGAGTGAGAGCGAGAGAGAAAGAAAGAAAGAGAGCGAGAGAAAAAGAAAGAGAGCGAGAGAGAAAGAGAAGCGAGAGAGAAAGAAAGAAAGAGAGAGAGCGAGATAGAAGAGAAAGAAAAAAGAGAGAGAGAGAAAGAGCGAGAGAGAAAAGAAAGAGAGAGAGAAAGAGCGAGAGCGAGCGGCCATCCCCTCCCCGCAGGGCCGGGCAGCGGTGACTAACCTGACCGATTTCCCGCCAAAAGCTGGAGCTTCTTAGAGGTGGGATATTTGTCATCAAAATTAATAAATTTTATTAAATGGTCCGACATGTAAGTGTCTTGTGCATCTGGCGTTGTGCATCAATTGCATTAATGCTTCTATTGATATATTTCTCACTTCAAATTAGTATGTTGCACAAGTGAGCGTTGGTACATGAAAATCATTTTTGTGCCTGTATTTTCTACTGGTATAGATTTTGGAATGTTTTTGTTTTGTTTTTTTTTTTCGGCTATTGTTTTTTTGTTTTGTTTTCCTCTGCATCTGCGAATATTGAATGCCTAGAACTAGCTAACATACCGTTTGTTTTTAAGTGAACATTATAATTCAAAATTCCAGTTGAATTGAACCATAGTATTAAAGAAAAGAAAAAGAAAAAAAATAACTACAGTAGCATGGATTTCTCTGCTCCACCCCTCTATGCCGGAAACTCCAATTTCGTTTTAAAACAGTCCCCCTTGCTCCATATACGCCCTCCCTCGTTTCCCGTTTTCTGTGAAATTAAACCAGCCGCCCCGCCCCGATGGCCGACGACCCCTCACCCGCCCTCTCCTCCTCAGCGCCCTGCATCGTCCCCACCATCGAGCACGGGCGCCTCAAGAACCGGACGCTGGCGGGGGCGCTGGTCACCCACGGCAGCGTCATCGAGGTGGAGTGCGACGAACGCTTCGAGCTCGCCTACAGCCTGGCGCCGTCGCTCTGCTACAACGGCACGTGGACGCACTACCCGCGCTGCCAGCCCGGTGGGTGGGACTGCGTTGAGCCGTAGAATGATGTGTTTAATTTTTTTTAAGGATTGTGATCGTTGCTGTGACACGAGAGGAATGTTCTCTCTTTTTGTTTATTTACAATAAGAAGCTTTAGTTGTTTTGGTACAGTTTTATCGGAATTAGATCATTATGATTTAAATACTTTTGGTCTACGAATTTAATCATGTCTTCTTGTTCACCTATAAGGTTTAATCCTTAATTTACGGCGCAAAGCAAGACTACATATGTACATAGAAAGATATATAGAGATAGATTTATACCCATGCATTCGTACAACACATTATAAGAGAGGAGCTACTCAGTGGCTCTCCCTCGGTGCGTGTCCACCCATTCAGAGCCGAGGCTGATCCCAATGAGTGACCCCGTGTTGTGCCCCTATTCTGTGCCACAGCTCGGTGCAAGAAGCTGCCCCCGCGACCTCGACACGGCATGGTGATCGCCCCGCGGACAGACCACGGCATGTGGGCACGGTACCGCTGCAGGGACGGCTACCAGCTGCAAGGCAACGCCACCACCAAGTGCAAGTATGGCAACTGGACGGGCAGCACCCCGACCTGCGTCGAAGGTGAGGCGGAGGCCCTGCGTGCTGGGCGGGCAGGCGCCCTTGCGGTTGTAGGAGTGAGTGTGTGTGTGTGTGTGTGTGTGTGTGTGTGGTGTGTGTGGTGTGTGTGTGTGTGTGTGTGTGTGTGTGTGTGTGTGTGTGTGTGTGTGTGTGTGTGCGTGTGCGTGTGTGTGTGTGTGTGTGAATAAATTGTATGTGCATGTATATGCTCACTTACCTACATACAAACATACCCGCAAATCTAAACTAAAACTAAAACTTATATATAAACAAATTCACACTCATACTAACACACACACGCACACGCATTCTTTTCTTTTTCTTTAAATCACGAATGAGCCTCGAGTCTTCTTTCCTCCCCAGTGTACTGTCGTTCCCCGGCGAAGTCGCAAACGGCGCGTGCTGTTGGTGGGCCAACATGGGCATGTACGACTACCGTTCCTACGTCAAGAAGGTAAGGAGAGAGGGAGGGGAGGGAGGGAGAGAGGGAGAGAGAGGGGAGAGGGAGGAGGGAGGAGGGAGAGGAGGAGGGAGGGGGAGAGAGGGAGGGAGGGGAGAGAGAGGGAGGAGAGAGAGAGAGAGAGAGAGAGAGAGAGAGAGAGAGATTGTCGGGATAAATGAACCAAAGATGAAATATTTTCCTTCTTTGCAAACCTCTCTAACTCGAAGGCGTTTGGAAGCTCCGAGCGCGAGAACTGACTCCCGTCTGTCGCATCCCGCAGGTCCGGAACAACCGCCAAATCCGGTACGACTGCGACCGGGGCTATTACCTGGTGGAGGGGCCGCCGGGAGCCACCTGCGTCGCCGGCCAGTGGAGCCCCAAGGAAATGCCAAGGTACAGTGGTGGAAAAGGCATGGGCGAGAACGAATGTCTTCCCAAAACGAGAGGTGTATTTGGCCGGTTTCGAATATATAACGGTCGGAAATGCATCTATTTCTGACGAAGATACGTTCGAAACCAGTCGTATACATCTCTTGTATTGGGAAGATATTCATTCTCATTCCTAGCTTATCTACATTTGTCAACATGAATACGGTTCAAGGTATGGTTATTGTGTGTGTGTGTACTTAATGTATGATCATCCATGGGGTATTAGCTTTCGCTTTTATAGTATAATTCTGTTATTTGAGAAATGGGGTGACATCAAGCATGGCGGCGCTGTCTCTGCACCTTCTGATTCTTCTACTCTCATAACTATTAATTTTTACAAGCTGGAATATATTATATTAATTTTTACAAGCTGGAATAAATGATTGGACTTTGCAAATCTTTTAATTCTACTACTCACAGCTGGTCATCTTTATAAGCTGGAATAAATTATAGGATTTTTTAAAACTTTGTATTAGAGGTCAGAGTAAAAGCACAGCCAGAAATGCAGACGAGCCGAGACCCCGGAAGCAAATCGCCCGAACCAAACGCGTCTTGGCAGACCACGCACGTGCCTGGCTGAGCCTTCCCTTGGCAGAGCGATCCCGACCTTCATCCGAGTTTCTCTTGGCAGATGCGACCCTGACCTTCACCCGAGGATCCGCTGGGTCAAGAGGTCAGTGGACAGCCGCGAGTACGAGGAGATCCGAAACCAGACGGTGGCCGAGAACCTCGTCCTGTCGGGCGGAGACGACGCGTCGGACCAAGCTCCCGCCAGCGACGACAACCGCATGTTCGTCGCGGGCCCGAAGGAGCGGCCGCGGGGCCCGGCGACGAGCCAAGCGACGAGCCAAGCGACGAGCCGACGAGCAGGCGGGGCCAGGGCCAGGACCCCATCATCAACGAGCACGACAGAGTCCGGCCGTTCACCTTCAAGGTGAACTCGAAGCCGCTGGCGCCCGCGAGCACCGCCACGGCGCCGCCGCCCCGAACCGCGAAGACGACGGCGAGCGCTGCCCCTGGCACGGCCGCCCCGACGCCGGCGAGGACGACGAGCGAAGCCCCGGCGGAGGTCAGGGACGCCCTCGAGGTGGGCAAGAAGCTGAAGAGTCCCCTCTACGACTTCTACCGGCTCCTGCGCGTCGAGAACGAGTCCTCCAGCGAAGTCGGGAAGAAGGAGGCGTGGCCGAATCTCGTGCGAGTCCCGCGAGGAGCGGCCGAGAGAGAGAAGAAGGAGAAGAAGCGCAAGCAGAGGAACAAATGGAAGAAGAAGGGCAAAAAAGGTCAGTTCAAGAGTCATTTCTTCAAGGCAATGTTCGCAACAGACATATTATTAGCTTTCAAAGTGTAAGATCTAAAGGCATTCAGTTCTCAGGCCAAACCGTGTATCGGCGAGCCTCAGCGCCTCCCGCTCTCTCCCGCCGCAGTGCCCCGCTGCCAGGCCATTCCGAGCCAGCCCTACCTGCGCGTGGAGGTGGCCCGCTCCGGCCGCGACAAGAACTACACGTACTCTGCGGGGGCGCGCATCAAGGTGACCTGCCTGCACGGCTACGGCCTCAACATCGGCAACAAGACCGCCAAATGCGCCAAAGGCAAATGGAAGCCCAAGAAACCAGAATGCGTGACGCGTGAGTATCCGCGCCCTTTTCCTCCCTCAGGGCGCCCAGCATGTGAGCTTGAGACCAAAGGCGCTTCGCCCTCGCCGCCGCCCCTCGCGCCATGCCGGTGCCGCCCTAGAGTACCTAGAGCATGCAGGCAATGCCCGAATGCGTACCCATGCCCGACCGTGACCTCTTAGCATACCGTCACCCGTAGACCTGCCACCCTAACACATCCCGTGAGTATGTCCGCCCAGTAAGCACGAAGCCTAGGTGTGTAGATGCCATTAACATAGAGCCCAAAGTTGCGCAGCGTGTAAGCGACATGGCGAGAGACCTCGTGCCTAATCCCTAATCCCTGAGTCCGTGTTGGATTAGCTGTCTGTGCCTCCTGTCTGCCTCGTGCGGTGTCAGAACATAGAAGATTCTGACGCATAAAACTCTTGTCCTTGGTCATGCAACCTTGTGTCTAACCCGTCCAGGTGTTGCTTCTGTCTTTTTTAAAAATTGGCCCCGTGCTCTAACTTTAAATTCTAATGATAAATAAAGGAATGAGGGAGAGAGATCAACAAATATATAAACGACTGACTTTTAAAAAAAATAAAAAAAAAACACCAGTGTATATAAATATATTTAGAAATAGTATCATCAGCATTATGAACATTACTGCTACTAGTAGTGTCTGTAGTGGTTTGTTTAGATGTTTTTATTACTATCATTATCATCACTATTTTTTTACTACTACAAACTTTATTATCTTTTATTATTATTATTATTATCAATGTTATATCTATAATTATTATTATCAATGTTATTATTCTTATAATTATTATCATCAATGGTATTATTTTTGTTATAATTATTATTAATAATATATTTATTACTGTTATTATTATTATCATCGTTATCATTGCCATTATCATTATTATCATCACTATTACTATTTCTATTGTTAACATCAATGCCTATTATCATTGGTTATAATTGTTCTAGCTGTTATTATCATTATTTTCGTTTTCCTGATTTTCTGCACATTTCTTTACGCAAATTAGATATTAACTACACCTTTGCTTGGTTCCTTAATTCCGTTTTATTCACATTACTCCCATTATTATCTTTGATTCACTTTTTTCAGGTCCTTATAAATTTTTATGTTCATGCCCTGTGTCTTACATGGAAGCATACAAGATCCCAAGATTATTACAGTAGCACTCACACAGAAATTAATGTTTTGTCGTTGCTAGATCACACATTAGTGGCATGAGTAACCTACATAGGTTGAGCAAGGTAATTTAAGACAGGTAGCACCACTATCTCCTAAAAAAATACTAGGTGGCAACCTCTTTATTTTTTTGCTATTATTAATAGTTTTTATTTCTGTTTGCTTGTTTTTACGATTGTTTTTATGAGTGTAATGTAGTATTTTCAAAGAAAATATGTTAAGGAAGCAATTTATGTAAAAAAAAAAAAAATGTTAAAAAAAAAATCGCAGAGATTGACAGGGCCTAAAAAGGGGTGGAGCTAATGACATCATTGCTTGTAGCTAAAATAAGGGTGTCTTAAAATCTCAGATATAGCTGGATATATATTTGTTTGTGTAATTTATTTGGTATTATGATTACTAGAAATTAAACAAAAATCGAATATTTTATTTGAAATAACAAAGTGTTCCATACCATAAAGAGATCGGAGGAAAAAGTCAATTTAATTTTTGGGTATAGTAGCTAAATGGAAGTGGTGCTAGTTGTCTTGTACATACCAAGGGTTAGAGCATGTCATAAATTCATAAATGTGGCAGAGGAATAGGTTGATGTAGCCGATGATTTGGCAGATTAGTACAAAATTTATTACTTTGCGTCTAATTTTTTAAAAGAAAAAACAAACTGGCAACTCATTCCAACCTCTGGGGTGCTTTGATTCACAAAGTTTTTTTTATTTATTTCGTTTCTTTTCTTTCGTAATTATTATTCTAAGCAGCTGGTGTTTAAATATGATTGGGCATTTTCTGAATTCATGTGTAGTATTAATCTTGCTTTTGCAAGTTTTCTTCTTTCAAAGGCAGTTTAGCAAATCAAAGTGCCCTAGAGGCCCAGGTTGAGTTGCCAGTTTTACCTTTTCCAGAGATTAGAAGGAATATAGAAATAGTCCCCCACACCACCCCCACTCACCCTTCCCCCTGTCACTTAGGGCATGCAGTTTCCAAATCCCCCCTCACCCAAAAAAAATAATGATAATGAAAAATGAACCAAAGCCCTTTATAAGATAAGATTTTTCCAGTAAGATCATCACTTCTCAGATTCTTTGATTTCGGAGACTTCTATATCAGATTATTCCTGATGAAGTAGAATATTCAGACTTCCCCCTCTCCCCATAGTTGCAGCTTTATTT